CCCTGGGAGTTTGATTTTGCGCATGAACTGTTTCTGCATATTAAGGTCTGGTTTCTAATTCTCCAGTTCTGTTCTTTCTCTCTTCTTGGGCCAGTGCCACATTGTGTTAATTGTATCTCAAAAATGCTTTAATACCTTTTTTTCCAAAGTGTTCTTATTCTTGGCTTTGTAGTCAAATAAACATTATTTAATGTTTAGTCAAATAAACATTAAAGTCATTTTCTCAAATATCTCACAAAATCCTATTGGAATTTTTTTATTATTGTGTTAAATTAATTCAGCAAAAGGTTGATATTTTATATGATTCAGTCTCTCCATGAACATTGCATTTTCTCATTTCATTCAAACTTATTTTACATTTCTAAGTCTTACAATTTTCCTCCTAACCATCACACACGTTTCCTCACTAAGGCTGTGTCTAGGTGTGTGGTGGTGGTGGTGTTTGTGATGCTCATCACTGCCTTTCTCATATTTCCAGTGGGATCCACTGAGGTGGTGGCCTCTTACTTGTGAAATGGAACAGCAAGCCCATCTGAGCAATTGTACTCCTTCCAGATGTGGAGATGAAACACCAAAAATGGAGTTAATCTGTGAAAGCCTATAAATTGATGATGATAATGGTATCTTCCTGTAAAGTCGTTGTGCAATTAAAAGAAGTAAATACTTTTAATTAATTGATTAAGTTAATTAAATGCTTAGAACAGTGCTTGGCATACAGTAAGTGCTCTTTAAACATTAACTGTTACTTTCATCATCATCATCATCATCATCATCATCATTATTTTGAGTAGTAGTAGTTTACTCATTACCATGCCAGAAGTGAGATTTGGCACTGCTGCCCATTGGACAAGGTGTCATCCCTGCCTGGTGGTTTCCCACCCTCAGAGAGGACAGAAAGCAAGGACAGTCCACCCCCGAGCTTCACAAGCAGAGCCAGATGTCATCATCTCTCCCATAACTTTCAGCATATAGCACCCTGCCTTCTCACACAAAACTGCTCTGACCAGCTAAAAACATTCTGGGCCCTTCTTGGGTAGAAAACTATGTCCTCACAGCAGAGCTGATGAAAGAGTAGACTCCAGTTCAGCTCACGAAGCTCAAGTTCAAAACCAGCATGTTGTCTCAGACATCCCTGGCACCCTCTCTCCACAAGTGTGGGTGGATGTAATATTACAAAATCATAGACTCTCACAGCTGAGGTGATGAGCCTTGGAGATCCTTGCAGTCAAGACCTGAGATGCTCTGGTATTCAACTTGACAATAGATAGGCCATGCACATAAGTAACATTTAACGAGCTCTTACCACATGCCTGGTACTATTCTTATTTCATACCCCAACAGAATAAAGATATTTGATGTATTGGGGCTCTAGGAAGTATTTGGGGCAAATGGTACATTTTCTTTGAGTTTAATATCTCATTTGATTCTCATAACAACCCAGTGAAGCAGGCAAGAAGTATCAGTGTTCCCACTGCCCCCTTCCCGCCTCCCCCACCTCCCCTGGTGATTAAGACCAGCTCCTTTGAGCCTAAATCAGATTGAGGTGTGTCGAACAGGAGGTAGCACATTGCTTCAGATGAGGAAGCAGTGAAGACATGTCCCCGGTAGGTTATTTGTCTAATGAGCCTCAGAGCTCATGTGTTTCTAGGCCATCCAGTCATGCCATCTACTTGCAGTTGAGTGATCTGTGTGTTTTCCTAATGGACTCTAATGCCAAGTCCTAATGTTTATAGAAGTGTGATCAGCTTTAATGACCAGTTTATGCATAGTAATAGTCTGATGTGGCTGCGGAAGGCAATTTCAGATTCTGGAGGGACTGTAAATTGAAGCTGTTAATTGCACTTCCTCACTTCCATTGACCAGCCAGTTCCCCTCACCTGCCGCTTGGAAGTGGCGTGCTCTGTCATTAGCACCACTGCATCCATCCCCAGCTGGCCCCTTGGTGTGTGCTGACACATTTTATAGCCCAGATAAATGGAACAGAACTGTTCCACAAACGTTTATTGCCTCATCTCTATCGTCCTTGTTGAGGTAACATTTTAATATTTCCCTCTTTGTGAGCTGAATATTTTTCCCTCTCCTCTTCTGTAATTGCTCTGGGTTAATCCTGTATACCCTTGGATTATAACTTTCAGCTTCTAGCTAGGCTGAACTTAAATCATTTCATTTTGTTTAATAGTGAGTAAACATTTTGTTACAGTAAATAGCCCTGTCGCTATTTTCATTGACTTACCTTTATCATTTCCCTGTTTCCACTAGGAACTCACCACAAAGTATTTCATGATCAGTTACAGATCTAGGATTTTGAACTAGTGGACATAGAGCCTTTACCCAGGGATACAAGGTTGTGGTATTTTTAGTTGTCAAGTACTAATAAGCACCTGGCACTGTCCTCACCTGTGCTGTGAGGCAGCTGAATCTTTCTTCTATTCCCCATCAGTCACTGATACTCCTGCAAAGGAACTAAGACAGGCACACAAATCGTGACAGTACAAGGCCAAACCAGTGTCACATGGGTGGCACACATATATACAGTAAGTGTTTCCAGGGAATCTTCAACCACTGTCCCAAAGGGTGGATGGGCTTTTGCTCAGAGGATGCTGAGTATTTCCTGGCGGAGTTGCTCCTGGCAGAGCAAAGACACAGAAGCTGCAAGACACAAGGTCTTGTGGTGTCAGTGAGAAGTTCACGGCACGTGGGAGGGTAGCAGCCATTAGAGGACTGTATATATAAGACCAAGGGGCCTGGATAGATGAAAAGATACTAATTTTTATTCCCCCTCAATATCAGTAACATTGAAATATTAGTTCATTTCTCCCTTCTCTTCCCTATTGACCATAGAATTGTCACATCTTAATAGAATGTTTAAAATCTAATTCATACTACAATCAGTGGACTATAAATCTGAAGGTTTGTTTTGATTTAAAGTGTCCTGAACATGAGTTTTAGATCACCTCTTCATTTGCATTTTGCAACTTCCTTTGGAGCCTTTCATGGGGTGCCAATTGGGACTGAGTCACCCATATCACAGCTGCATTTCTTGCAAAAGAACACCTGTCCCCCAAAGGTTCCATCCTTATATTGGTGGACTTTGGGAAACACATACTATATGAAAACTGTGTTAGTGGGGTTTCTGTCAGGAGCACAGATGAAGGGCCCACGCAGGAGAACCCTGTGTTCTTACCCATCCATTGAGATAGATGGTGGCTGTCAGCACACACAGCGTGCACAGTGGTTCTGTGGGAGGAGAGGTGCCTGTGCTGTGGCAGAACGCACTGCCCAACCTGCACACAGTCCACCGAAGGCAGTGTGAGCTGGACAAACAAATGAACCTTTTTGAAAGTGGTTGTATAATATCTGTCAGGATCCATAAAAGTATTCAGACCTATTTACCTAATATTTCCACGTCTAGAAAGCTTTTATAAGAAGAAACAGATGTGAATAAAGATTTATACTTTTATAAATGGTATAAAATGAAAATGAGTAAATAAATTATACTGTTTCTTTTTAATAGAATATTATGCAGTTGTTAAAAATATTCTTTCAGCCCTGGCTGGTGTGGCTCAGTGGAGTGAGTGCCAGCCTGCAAACCAAAGGGTTGCCAGGAAGGTCCCCAGTAGGGGGCATGCGAGAAGCAACCACACATTGATGTTCCTCTCCCTCTTTCCCACTCTCTAAAAATAAATAAATAAAATCTTTAAAAATATCAATGAATTTTTTTGAAATTGTGTGTTTGTATTTATACAAACATTGGGGCAGGCCCCAATTACATATATTGTTGATTACCTCAAATTTTAATAAATATGCTACTGCACCCCTTGATTGCAGTGTTTGTGGTTACTACTACTGTGTTACCGTGACATGAAGTTAATGTTACAAAGAAGTCAGCGTTGTTAAGGGAATTGGTGGAAGAGCAGCCTTTTGGAAAAAGCACTAGACAGATTCAAGTCTTTCCTCCTCATGGATTTTCTGTGAGACTTCTTTCTTCAAACCAAAAAATTCAGGTCTTGATTCTTATATCTGCACAGGTCAGTCTTGATCTTACTGTTGTTTGATTCCCCATTTTGTATGTCACCCAAGTAATTCTCTGGTCTGCTCCACTTGATATTCTCTGTCACCTCCTTAGTTCAGGCCAAAATCATTTCTCACCTGCACTCTTTTGGGGCTCTTGCCTTCACAATGAGATAAAGTAACCTCACCTTCTGTTTTTAACATTTCAAAATTGTCCTCAGAATGAGTTAGCATCCATGATCTGGCCCTCGCCTGCCTTTTACTCTCTCTCTTCTCTACGCCAGCCCATCCACACTCACAGCTCACAATGTCTCGGACATTCTCCACAAGCCCAGTGCATCACGTGCCCTCATACACAGCTGCCTGTGTAGGGGCCATTCCCTCTGGAATGTACTTCTCGCCCCTCCCCTGGCTCCCACTTCTCAGCCTGCTGTACTCCTCAGGCCTTGTTTAAGATCCATCTCCTTCTAAGTTTCTCTAGTCCTGCGTGCTGGCACCTGCTAGGTCATAGGGAGGTTCTCTCATTCCCTGTCTCTCCTCCATTCGGAGCTTTTGAGAGGAGGAATCACGTCCTCACACATCACCAGAGTGCAGTGTCTGGTACAGTAGGCATTCACTGCTTGCCGCCCAAAGACAAGGGGCTGGGGCTGCCCTTCTGGACTCCTACAGGGTTTGCTGGATCTCTGACCCAATGAATCTTTATTTTTTCTGCTTTAGGGAACCGGCCTTTCACTGGTAGGAAGAACCCTGCCCTGTATCTCTATTTTCACTGCACAGCCATTGACTCCTGCACCGACAGCTCAGCTCTGATGTGCAGGAGTTAGCAAAGGCCAATCTGGTGACTACACTTTGCCCACAGTGCATATCCCAGCAGGGAACAACCCTGTGATGGCAGACATTTGCATTTAAGTGTTAGAGTTGTTCTTTCTGACTTTTCACTGCTAACAGAGTTCCATGGTTCTTGATCTGTGTCTTTTCTTTGCCTTCAGGTCCACATTGGCCAGATGTATGCAACTGACAAGCTTATCATTGAGAATCAAGAGAAGCCCAAGACCTAAAGACCACCATCACCAGCAGCCACCATCAGCAACCGTGGACCACCTTCCACATCCATTCTGTGCTTGGGGTGGGGGCCCCCAACAGACCACGAGTGGCCTCTTGCATCAACTTAAAACAATAACCCCTTGCTCAGCCTGCCCTGTAGAAACTGATAAATTGAGTGAGGTTCCCATTCTTCTGCAGCCTTAGTGGAAAAAGGTGGCTGTCTCCCCTTGGTTCAAGGGTTAGAATGAAGAGCTGGTGCTCACTCAAATTAATGCTGTGTATTATTGTGTCTCCTCTCCACTGCACCCCTCTTTAGTAGCTCATCATCACTTGTACAGAGTATCTCCAGACTTTCTTAGTCCTTAACAATAAACAGAATTGTCTCCCTAAGCCTGCTACACCAAATAATGCACTTTCCTTTCCTGCTGCTGCAGGTCCTATGGAAGGCGTTGCAGAGACCAGAAGGGGAGGCTCCAACACTGAGCTGAGTCCTCCCTTTAAAAGCAAGTCTAGAACAGAAGAGATTTGGGGGATGGCAGGAAAGAGGGCAGGGCTGATGGGGCAGAGGGTGCACCCTGCAATTGACACCTAGGCACAATGCAACCACAAGGATGGTAAATAGGTGGATACACACCCATAGAAAGGGAACTCCACACCCTGGCTGCTCAGAGAGCTCTGAGGATCAGCACTGCCTGGGAGCAGAATCTCAAGCCCCACCCCAACCTTCTGTATCAGACCAATCCCACTACAGGGGAGGTGACTCGGATGTACCTGAAGTTCAAGAAGAGCTGTTATCAGCACTGCTTCCCAAAGCAGGCTGCCAAAGTTCACCTACTGAGTCAGAATCTCCTGGAGATTTTGAAAAGAAATTTCTCAGTGTTTCCCTCCCCTTGGATTCTGACTTAATAAAGAATGGAGCACAATAATTTAAACTTAAATGTACATTTTTAAAGCTCTCCTAGTGCTTTCAATGTTTGGTCAGCTCAGGAAACTCTGCTCTTTGAGTATGTTACAGGTAAAAGAAAATTGTATGGATTTGTCCTTGGAAATAACATCAGTTTAAAACAAAGGAAGAAGGTATTAAATAAGTTACTTCTGGAGATTTTATGAGGAACCCAGACACTGTCTGAGTGATTTTTTTTCGTTCGTTTCCTTTTGTAAACAGTACTAAGTGAATTCATTGCTGATGGGTATAGGTTTGAGACAGGCTCATATAAATATTTACAGGTTCTAAAATAGGTGTGACAGTGTCACCAACATGCCACTGAACTATCCCCTCCCCCCTGCCATTTTAGTCCATATGCATGGAGCATGAGCTGTCTGGGGCCGTCTCATCTATGGGTCGTAGATATTGTAACAGTGCATTCAGAACAGATTAAACATTTAGTCATCTGTTTGGCAATACAGCTTGTAACTTCAGAATGCTCTTGCCCGTGGATAAAGTCTCACGCATCTGTGAGACTAAACAATTCTTAGTAGGTCCCGTAGTTTCAGGGCTCCAGTGTGAGAATAAACATTCAGTAGATGGCCAGTAATGTGGGAAATGTTCTCTCCTCCTCGCACTGACTGCAGTGGGGTTGGAGTCTCCCAACCCCGTGTGTGGCTCTGAGCCCCCTTCCGTTCTGCATCAGTAGAGTTTATGGCCGTTCAGCAACAACTGCCTCCAACAGCGGTGCTTGCTAACAGATGTCACCTCTGATTTAATTAAAGGAGCTGCTGCTCGAAAACTCCTAAGTCCACATATGAACCTCTTTCCTACAAGCCTCAAATTTCTAGCAGGCTAACAACTCCATGGGAGACGTTTTTCTCCAGATTTTAGTCACAGAGACAGTGGACCGAGCAAACCTGACTTGTTCTGCAGGCCTTAAACAGCAGGTGGCTGTTATGTTAATTAAAGCACATGAATGGGCTTGAACATGCCCAAAGCCTTAATAAGCAGAGCTAATTTTTGTAACTCAAATAAGATTAACTGCATTTAGAATCTGTGGAAAGACGTGAATGAAAATTCAATGACAAAACAAGGGTCTTGAACAGGTGCAGGCAGGCTGTGCCTTGTACAGAGTATTTCCCAATTCAGAAGGCCCCAGGTTGGATGTGGAGCCTTGAATAGTGAGTAACATTTTTATGGGGACAGTCACTTGTATTTCTGTAGCAAAGCATGCCACTTGCTCGACTAGGCCTCTGCTGAGAGACTCGGGGTGAGAGGATTGGTGGTTAGCCTCACAGAAGTCTGGCATGTGCAGCTGTTCTTAGAATTTAGGCTGAGTCTAAAACCCACCTGCCAGTGTCAACATATAGGAAATAGGAAATACTACTATAAGTTAACTTCTGAGACAAAAACAACTGGAAAAGCATGGCTGTTCCCTCGATTTTCAGAGATAACATTTGATACCTGGGAAACCTTAAATGGCCAAGTACATGACAGTGTTGTTCTGTGGCTGTTCTCAGGACCGTGAACTGAAAGATCTTCATGGATTGACAGACCTTGCTTTACATCTACTCTGCCCAGCCGCCACGCAGCAGCGCCTCTAATCCCCTGCATCCACAGTCTCACCCACCATCTCAAGTCCCCGAATACAACCCAAAGTGCAGCCTGCCATCCAAGAGCAAAGGGGGTGGACTGAGACGAAGTCCACAAAGATGACAAATGTCAGAGCTGACTTACTACAGTTCACCTAGCCTAACACCCAAGTGTGCAGGTGTGAAAACTGAGATCTGAGCATCTCCAGATCATTTGCAAGTCCATGCTATTTCCCTTATACCCCTTTCACTCATGAGTATTGACCAAGAGGCAGCTGGTGTCAGGTGCCAGGGAGAGAGCAGTGAGTAAGACACAGCCTCTGCCTTCACAGAGCTTACAGTCTAGCAGGGAAATTAAATGAGAAAAGGACAAGCCTAACGTGTTACAAAGGGTGAAATGCAGGTACTCTGGGAGCTGATGATGAGGCTCAGGGAAGGCCTCCTGAGGAAGGAAGATTGAAGGAGAGAAATCCAGTCTGCAGGGAGACAAAAATGCAACAGAACAGAGCAGACAAGAGGCAGAGCAGGACGCTCCTTACTCCAGCAGCTTTACACTTCCGGGCTTCCTGGCCCTGGAGAGGCCCAGCTGCCTTTAGATTCTACACAATACCCCACTATCCATCAAACCAGCTCTCTTGTTTGCTCAAGCTGGCTTGAGTTAGTTTCTGTAACTTAAAGAGTTTGGAACATTGACCAGTGCTGTGTTTTGTGGAACTGTGGGGCCATATTGAGGCCTGCAAGAAGTTAGTTCACATTTCTAGTAGGTAAGTTTCCCACAGAAAAGGGAACCTAGTCCCCGTGTCAGTCCCCTAGAGGTAGTTAACTGGAACTTGATGACAAGACCTAGGTAGGAGGAGAGACCACTTCAGCTCTTGCCAGATACTAAGAGGTCTAGACGTTCTCCACCCTCATGAGAGACCAAGGAAGAAATGAGGAACCCAAGTGAAATATTTTGTGTGTGGATGAACTCCAGATATGCTGCCTTGCCTGTGTTCATACTTGTAGCAGTGTATGGTTAAGACCAGTGGATTTGAGTCCCACTATGCTGGGTTCACATCCAAGCTCAGTCTCTCCCACATTACTGAACCTCTCTGTGATTCGATTTCTTTAGCTACAAAACAGGAGTAATACCTATCTCTCAGAGTTGTGTTGGAGTCTCAGAGGGAGTGCTAGTAAATAGCACCCAACCTCCTCCCAACCCAAGTATTGAAATAAGAAAAATGAGGGTCAGTAGAGACAGATGTCAGCTTTATAATTGGTGTAGGCTACTTACAGCACTGCCAAGCGTGAGATTCAGATGGGTTAAAGAAGTCCATATGGCCAAGAAGACCCTTTATTCCAGGGAAGTGTGAGTCTGCAAAGTGTACACAGTGCCCAAGCTGTGGTCTCCCACTGGTGTGAAAGAAGTCCTACCCTCAGAACCGGTGACAGATGAACTCCACCACCAGTGGCTGCCCTGCCCCCCACATCACTGTGGGCCAAATAAAAATCAGCCATTCTCCTAGCAAGAGAGTAAAACAATTGACAAGGTTAGGACACGGGTTCTGCCCACTGCTGCACTCAGTGGGTGCATGTCTCAGGGAGATGTGAGGTGGGACGTGTCGATCTGTAACTCCGTGTCGCCACCACAACTCAGCAGGATGTGAAGATCTCTGAGTGCTGGCCGCGACTGCTGAATGCACTTTCCAGTTTTTGACTATTACACACAATGCTGCTGAAAACATTGTTGTATGTGTCTCTTGTACGTGTTTATGACAGAGAGTGAAAGGTGTTTTGAAAGACAGGATAGCAGACGGACAATCAGCCTTGAAAGAGACTGACTAGGAACAGCTTGGGGGAGAAAGTAAGTCGGGCGAGGCAGGTCACAGAAGCCTAAGGTCACAAAGAATGAACGTTCAGCGACACCAAACTACTCAACAATGGGGCTCCCCCAAAGCTTCGTGAGACAGGAAGGATTATCTTTCAAGGAAATGCAACAGTTGTAAGGCGGGTGAACATACACGGGTTGTATACATTATGTCCATGGCGTGTAATATGTAACACATCCCCTCACCAAAGAACCAGGAAATACGTAGCGTGCTCGTGTCCAGGCAATAAGAGCAGTTTGTCTCATCGGTACATTGGGGTATAGTGTAATTTTTCCCCAAATTGGAAAATGTATTTATCCTTCATACGTTCTGATAAAGTCAGACACCATTCATCCTCAGGATAGAATCAGTGGAAACCAGCTGGCAGAGGGAAAAGAGAAAGACAACTAAAGATAGTGGACACTTCACAGATAAATTGCTCTTGTGGTCACAGTGGTCTAGTTAAGACGGACCGCCTCCGTTTTGCAGGTGTGAAACCACACGCTCACGAGGGAAAGAACTAGTCCGAAATCTCACAGCCAGGGCCCAGCTGTGCTGGGGCAGGCCCGGCTCCCCTCGAGCCTCAGCACGAGCCCGTGTCCTGCCGCAGGCCGGGCACTGCCGTGCGCTCCCTCACTACGTAGAGCTCGACAGTGTTTTGTACACTTCTCAACTGTAGGTTTTCTTGTTTAAAAATGTTTAATTTTATTAAACTTTTTATTTTGAAATGGTTTGAAGCTCACAAGAAATTATACAAACAGCGCTGAGAATTTTCATGTATCCTTCCTACAGCTTTCCCCAGTCATGATATCTCCCCATAACCTTCGTAAATTGTCAAAACTAGGCAATCCATGTCAGCACAAGACCATTAACTCAGGACTTTTCAACCTAACACTGAGGTTTTAGGCCAAACAGCCCTTTGTTCTGAAAGTCGTCCTGTGTACTGCAGGATTTCAGCAGCCCCTCTGGCCTCTACCCCCTGGATGCCACTGGTGTGGCCACCGAAAATGTTCCCTGACTCAGTGACAGCTTCTAAAGCACCAATCGCTTTACATTCTTTATTCATATTAGGACTTTGGATTTAGTTTTGCTTTTCTTTTTTTGTTTAACATATACAGGAAAATAACCATAAAACAGAGTAGTAAACACAAACTTAAAAAAAAAAAAAGTCCTCAATTGAAAAGACACTTTCGAACCACAAAGCTAGAACTATTCTCTTTTTAATTGAACTTATTGGGGTGACATTGATTAATAAGATGATATAGGTTTCAGGTGTATAATTCAGTGTGTCATCTGTATGTCATATTGCGTATTCGCCACCCAAGCCAGGTCTCCCTCCATTGCCGTCTGTCCCCCTGTGCCCTCCTTCCACCTGCCGGTCACCGTGCTGTTGCCTGTGCCCATGAGTCCTCTTTCCTTTGTTTAACCCCTTCACACTTCTCAACAAACCCCCATCCCTCTGACAGCCGTCCTTTTTTTTAGAATTATG